TTCTTTCTTTCTTTCTTTCTTTCTTTCTTTCTTTCTTTCTTTCTTTCTTTCTTTCTTTCTTTCTTTCTTTCTTTCTTTCTTTCTTTCTTATTTTAGGATTTATTCATTTAATGTACTTTGGAGTTTTGCCTGCATGTATATCTATATGAGGGTCAGAACCCCTGGAACTGGAGTTACAGACAGTTGTGAATTGCCGTGTGGGTGCTGGGAATTGAACCCAGGTCCTTTGGAAGAGCAGCCAGTGCTCTCAACAGCTTAAGCCATCTCTACAGCCCCGACTAACTGGGTTTCTAGAGGGTTTATTTCCTGATTAGGACTGTAATGGGCTGTGAACTATGTGTAAAGCTTTTTCATTTCTGCTCAGTTTCAAAGGGACAACCCTATCCCTGCCCCGCCGTCCTCCCCACTAGGCGAGACACCGTATGCCTGCTTGCTCACACCTTTTGTGGTGTCTGTTGTAGACACACCCAGCTTTTTACAACTCCACTTGTGTTTGCTAGTGAGGATCTCCTAAGGACAACACCATGGAAGGCAGTGGCTGCAAAAGGAGGGTCCCTGTGAGGGATCCTGAGCGGTAGCATCCTTGGAGGTGTCATCTTCTGTTGCCCTGTCTGTCTCTAATGAGGGAGGTGCTCAGGGAAGGCAGGGTAGTTTGGACTAGTTCCAGGCCCTCTCTCATAGCTACTCCCTCACCCGCACCCAAGTTCTCCTCCTTGCTGTGCCTTTGCTGCTGTGTGCATTTAAAACTCTTCATTCAACAGACTAGAATCACTTCTTGTCTACATTAGGTTCCTTTTTCTGAAGTAAGTATTTTAGAGTCTCCCACTTACAAGGAGTAGGGTCAAAGTTGAATTTGAGGAGGCTCTTACCAGCCAGTGCCACTGTTGTCCAAGGGCTTGTTTTTTTTTTTTTTTGTTTGTTTGTTTGTTTGTTTTGTTTTTCAAGACAGGGTTTCTCTGTGTAGAGACAGGGTTTCTCTGTGTAGCTTTGCGCCTTTCCTGGATCTCGCTCTGTAGACCAGGCTGGCCTCGAACTCACAAAGATCCGCCTGCCTCTGCCTCCTGAGTGCTGGGATTAAAGGCGTGCACCACCACCACCACCACCACCACCTGGCTAAGAGCTTGTTTTTTTTTTTTTTTTTTGGTTTTTTCGAGTCAGGGTTTCTCTGCGTAGCTTTGCGCCTTTCCTGGAGCTCACTTGGTAGCCCAGGCTGGCCTCGAACTCACAGAGATCCGCCTGGCTCTGCCTCCCAAGTGCTGGGATTAAAGGCGTGCGCCACCACGCCCGGCAAGAGCTTGTTTTTAAAGCATACTTGTACCCAGCTCTGGGACTTGGTTGTATGGCAATATCTCTCTGGCTTACTGTGGGATCTAGTATGGTGTTTGAGTGGGTAAGGACTGAACATGTGTTGAGTCAGTGTGAGATCCCTGGGGCTTCCTGGGCTCAGGCCACACCTAGGACTGGTCAGACAGAAATCAAGACTGTTGAAATGTGTTCCTGTGCATACTGATATGCCAGAAATGGCTGGTTTTGTATAATTTTCTCCTGAAAAGACAACAAATGTAGGGAGTTTGACAAGGGATAACTTAAGTTGTGAACCTTGAGTTTTGACATCATGAGGAGATTGAGTCCCTTGATGTATACACTCTTAAGCTCAGCTCCCTCATGGAAGACTTGACAGTTTTTTGTTTTTGTTTTTTTCCACACAAACCATTGTGATCACATTAGGAAGTGGTCCAGTTTTGCCTGTTCATCTACACCCCATGATGTGGTGGGCCCTGGCTGGGTTTGGACATTTTCGTGCCAGTGGCTGGGCAGAGGCTAAAGAAGGGATGGCAAGGGTGGTCTTTTTTGTCTTGTTTTGTTTTGTTTTATTTCAATACAAAAAAGAAGCATCTGGTAGTTAGGGATGCAGGAGGGAAATGGAAAAGTCAGGAAGTTCTATGGATACCAAGAAGAAACAGTACAGCCCAGCTGCTGCTGCTTCTTGCCAAGGCTGTGGCTGCCTTGGCCTTAAGGTGACAAGAGAATAGCATTTTCCTCCACATGGTTAACTTGGGCCTCTGAATCAGTCTCTGGTTGCTTGGTCTTTCTTTGTGCATGGAGAACTCTTAGCAGGCTTGAACATAGCTGGGAGACTCCCTTCCTAGAGTTCCTTAGTTTTTCCTTTGGCTACCTTGGGGGTTTTCTAGAGATTGCCTATATTATGGTTGTCTCCAAATGCTCATTTGTCTTGACAGCTGCACCTTTGGGGGAGTTTTGCTGACTCTAAGAGGCAGCTGTCCTTCAGAGCATCCCTTTCATTGCAGAGTACCACCAGCATCAGTGTGTTGTGCTTTGTAAGATGTGCATCCCTCTCCAAACAGTTCATCCCTCTCCACTCTTTCTAGGCCCTCAGCCAAGCACCGCTCTGGAGGTTTGAAAATTAAAGACTAGTGGGGTTCCTCCAGGCTTGGCAGGCCAGTAGTAACTTCCCCCTTGAGAGTTGGGGTTCAGGTAGGAGTGGTGACATCTACTTACTTAGTACACCGAGCTAGAGAATACCATGCATGTATAAGCCCTTGTTGCAACAGCACATATCTTTTGCTGAGCTTCCTTTATTTACAGCTGCTGGTTTTCTAATAGCTGTGCATCCTGTGAGTTATAATGTGATACCCACAAGTCCTTACACCCAGTTAAAGCCAGTCCTTAGAAGCATCCGCTGCCCTTGTCCACTTCTGATGATGTGGTACAGGTCACTGGGATGGCCTCTTTTCTGCAGGACCTCAGCCTCACTCAGGCTTTGACCACAAGCAGCTGCTTCTTCCTTGGCATCTTCCCTTCTCTGAAGGGCACTTGCATTAGGCATGTCTTACAGGGAGACCATGTTCTCATGTTTCCTGATATCTGTGAGTTTGCTCTCATTAGCCAAAAGAACATAGGCTTTGCAGGGCATCTAATCATTGAGTCTCTATTACTTGTTTTTCCTTCGTTGAAAAGAAAGGTCTCCTGTCTAGCACAGTTCAAAATGTGCCACTTACTGCTTTTGATACCTTACTTAATCCACACCTGCCCTAAAATAAATCATCCTGGTGCTTTCATTAGGAGGGAGTGTCCCATGGGTGTATCCTGGGAGGTGCTATCCCTTCCACCTGCTGCGTAGTGCTGTCAAACCATTTGTAGGGCTTCCTCAGCCCCGCCGTTTCTCTAGAGCACAAAGTTAGGAGGGTTCTGCTGGAATAGCAATGGCCGCTTTTATCAAGGGTCATGAGAGACTGATGAGTTCATGCACTATGTGGAGAGACTTGCCATTAGCTGGAGTCCCCAAAGTGTCTGTTGCTCTCTTGACCTGGTGAAGGCAGGGGCCACATCAAGACTCAGTCAGGCTCAACACAGGCAGCCAGGGGACCAGGATCTCATGTGCTGGTCTGGCCAGCAGGACACTTACCAACAGCTGTCTTTTCCCCACCTCAGAATAGCATTCCTTTCGAACACCACGGCAAGTAGCTGCTCGTCTCCATCGGAAGGCAGCACTGGGTGAGTGTGCTCATGGTGGGGCTCTGCAGGTAGCAGGTGCCAGGCAAGGTGGGAACAACTCCCCACCCATCGTCTGGGCTCACTGGTGGGCTGGGCTTGCATGCCAAGTGCTGGAGGTAGAGTGAGGCTTCTTCTGCTTGTTTTTCTTCATGTGTGGGATATGGAGTAGCTGTGGTGAGCTGCCCAATCTGGGGGGTTAGTGGCATCCTTAGAATCTCTGGACCAAGTGACCTCAGGGAACCATCCTGCTGTGCCTTTGTCCTCTCGCCTCCCTGTGATTGCATTCGGTATGCTGGAACTGCCCTCAGGCCTGGCTGGCTCTGGGCAGATGTGCTGGCACATGTGTCTGTTGTACTCGGCTGAGTGGTGCCATGCTTGGTGTTGGGCTTTCTTGAGCTCTTGCTACATGCAGACTCCCGGTGGTCTATGCCCATCCTGGCTTTTTCAGTCATTCCTCTTCCACTCTCTCATTTATCTCTGTCCTCATTTTGTGTTTCTTTCCAAACTCGGTACCTGCCCAGCCATCTTGTCCATGCAGCTGTTGTCTGTATTAATCCAGCCACAGCCACCTGCTACCCTGCCATCAGTGCATGGCTGGGTGTCCACGCTGAGCTCCTTTCTTGTTGGCCACATGGCACTTGGTAGTTCCTTCCATCAGAGGCTTGAGCTTTGGTGGGGTTGTGCTGCTGGGCGATCTGCTCTATTTAATACATATGCACCTTGGAAATGTGCTGATAAGAATTGCTTTTCCTATCTTCCCTAAGGATATGCCTGTTTGAAAGCTCTAAGTTCTTTCCAGGAAGGGAGGCTGGGAGCAAGTGTCACTGCTCCACTCAGATCTACAGGAGCACAGCTCTGCAGTTTCCTTGCTTGCATGCCTCCTCTTCCCCATCTTCCTGTCCTGTGTTCTGCTCGACCCCTGTCCTGGCTACAGAGGCCTTTTTGTGCAGCCAGGGGTGAAGGTGTTGATATTGAAGCCAGGTGGCAGTGTGTCCCTTCCCTCCCAGGCTCGATTGTGTTAATGTGTGCCCAAACGCCTGGTTGGCCTGTTCCTCTGGCCTCATGCTGACCTTGTCCTGTGCTTTGGCTCCGACAGATTCCCGGTCGGGTGGCTTCCAGTGGTCTTCAGTCTGTCGTGCACCGATGAGAACTCTCCTTTTTGCTGTGAAGGGCAGACAATGCATGGCTGATCTACTCTGTTACCAATGGCTTTACTAGTGACACGCCCCCCGGTCTAAACCCGAAATGTTAACGCCGGGAGCTCTCCAGGCCACTCACCCAGCGATGCTCATGGGGAATCAAAACACAAACTAAATGGACAGGCTCCAAGAGCTGCCATCGCCAGGGGCTGCCACCGTGGCCCCATGTGAGTTCAGTTATCATGGGGCTGGAATGAAGAGCAGAGGCTGGGAGACCATTGCAGAGAGAACCCGACTCCCTCTGAAGAGCCTCTCAGCTCCCACCAGTGGTGGCGGACCTGCACTCCCTGACGATCCCACCGCAGCTACCAGTCTTCTACTTGGTTAAGACAGTTTTGTATCATTTTGCTAAAAATTACTGGCTTAAATCTGTGTAAAGAATTCTGTCTTTTTATTGTTTCTTTCTTGTCTGTTTTTGCGGTCTTAAACAAAAAAGATGTTGACCTTAAAGAATCCTGAGACATGCTGGCTTGGAGCTTCTGTGTAAAATGGAGGCAGGCAAGAGAGGGGCACATGTGAGTGTCAAGGATGTGTGTTTTGTTTGTTTTGTTTTCTTGTGTTGTGCTGTTCACTTTGGAAAGGAAATACTCATCAGTTGTGTGTGCGTGTGTGTCTTGTGGGCTCCCATCAGCCTAATTTGGGCATCTTGCTTACCCTTCCCCACTATAAACTGATATGCCTGTAATCATCAGAGCAGGTAGTTCAACTGCCATGGAGCGAGGGTGTGCCAGGTATATTCTCAGCAAGGCTCTATGGAATGATGTTCTTCCCAAAGGAGGCAAGAAGGAAGTCAAAACTCTGAAGAACTCACATGCGGAGGCCTTGAGATCCCTATAGGCTACTTGGAGCATTCCAAGATTCAAAGCTGACCTTGTGTTTCTGGTTTCTGGGGAGAGGATTGCTGTTTTGGTAGTGTTGGTTGCCTCTATGCCTTTGAACTTGGGAAGTTGCTGAACAGACTGAGTACTCCCATGCAGATGCCACTTAGGTCTATCACCTCCTCTCTGCTCAGAGCCCCGGGAGCAGGCTGTCCTAGACACCATGGTTTGCCCAGAGGGACCAGTGGCCAAAGGGAATCAACCCTGAAGTGCCAAGAAGCAGGTGACGCCTACCACACGCTGCTTCGTGATCTTCAACTGGACACATCAGCGGGCTGGGCTGCTCTGCTGCTGGCGGTTAGGATGCCAACATGCTCTTCCCACCATGTGCACCGGATATGAAGACAGCAGGACCTGAGCTCCCATCTGAGAAATGGGATGTAGTACATGTATGGGGTCCATCTCTCATTTCTTCCTGTCAGCCTGTGGAGAGTTATGCTGGGTACTATACTGGCCACCATGGCTTCTCCTTTCTTCCCAGAGTTCCCTGGTACTTGAGTACTGGCCTGGGGTAGGGGGCGGGTCACACATCCCAGAATGTGGCTATTAGTTGTGCCAGCCAGCCATCTGAGCCTGTGGGTGCTTTCTGAGTCCTGAGCTGGTTCCTCTGCAAGCATTTTAGGGTGCAGGGACTTGACTAGGTGGGACTGTGTGTCTGGGAGTGCAGAGGGAGGTTGGGAGGGTTGGGCAAGGTTGAGATTTTTGTTGCAAATTCTTTATCATCAGAGTTGGGCCTCCTCTCTTCATTGGCTGGCCTGCCTGGCAAGTGTTCTTTGTAGATACCTGTGGTGCCGGAGGGGTGTCAGGGTGGCCTTGAGACTGGTCCGGGTTCGGCCTGGCCCTGTTGGGTTGCGCTGAGATTAGGTCCGTCGGAGGTCCTCCAGGGTGTGACTCTGACGGTTCTTGCCTAACATTTAATCCCATCATCACTCGCAGGAAGCGTAGTTAGAATGTGTGTATCAACCTGTGTCTTGGTGACCAGTCTGAGCTGTGCGTTTGTACTCCCACTGTATTTGTGTACTTTAACAATTGTGTAAATAATAAATTCATAATGACTTCTACCTTTCCTCCCTCCCCCTTGTGTGGTCTTTCTTTCAGCAGCTGAGTTTTCAGTATGTAAGCCATATGGAAGTTAACTTGGTGTGGGTGCTGGCTCTGAGATTAAGACAGTCTCTTTCTGTAGCCCAGGCTGTCCTGGAACTGAGTGATTCTTCTGCCTCAACCTTCTGACTGTTGGTATTAAAGACCCAGTAAAACAACTTGTTCAGGATGATAGTCCTGCTTGTCCTTTCTCAGCCTATAAGTATTGGAAAGCTAGTTGGAGTAGGAGCCAAAAAGATGGCTCCCACTTGGACTCTGGGGTGTATGGGTGGATATTCTTATGAGTTTACTTAGGGATGTTGTGATGGTTCTGTCAGCCCTTCTCCACTCACCTTATAAGCACCTTTTGAGATAGAAGCCCCTAACCTACATAACCCTCTGTGCTAGTGCCTTAGATTTTCACCTTGCTAGGGAGGGGAGCTGAGGTGGGTGTGTCCCACTGTTCCTGGCATGCACATGAGTTTTCTACAGCAGCACCCTTTTGAGGCACAGGGAAAAGCTATCAGGTTGCTGGAACTAGGTCTGTTCATGTTGTGGAGACCTGTCCTCTTGGGAATTCTTTTTTATTGTTTTTTTTAAGACAGGGCTTCTCTGTGTAGCTTTTGGAGCCTGTCCTGGAACTCACTCTGTAGACGAGGTTGGCCTTGAATTCAGAGATCCGCCTGCCTCTGCCTCCTGAGTGCTGAGATTACAGGTGCCGCCGCCACCTGGCCTCTTGGGAATTCTTATCTGTCCCACATCCTAATGGGCTTGGCCAGTAGAACTTGGAGGCTCAGTTGTAGCAGTCAAGTGCTGGCAGGATTTATGGCCAAAACCCACTTAGTTCCCTGTGTGTGGCAGGTGTGGACGTGCTAGAGAGGGAAACTCCCAGAACCATGCCTGAGTTCTTGCCCCTCTAACCCCACCCTCAGCTTGCCAGTCTCTTCCAAGTTAGTTACTCTTCAGCCATTCTGCCTGTACTTTGAGCATCCCAAGTTGGCTTCTGGCCTGCTTGGTGAATTCCAGAAGGGACTGTTGTTCCACTGTCCCTCATTAGCTAGGACAATGGTTTTCAACCTATGTATGGGTCATGACCCCTTTGACAACCCTCTTATCTCCAAAAATATTTGCATTGCAATTCATAATAGCAAAATTACAGTTATGAAGTAGGAATGAAAATTAATTTTATGGTTGGGGATCACTGCAAAATAGGAACTGTATTAAAGGGCCATGGCCTTATGAAGGTTGAGAACCACTGAAATAGGAGATGAAATTAGTGCCAGCTTTGCCTATATTGGCACTTCCCTGAGTCTAGAGCTCCCTTCTGTTGCAGCCAGGCAAAGAACAGGTCCTATAAGCAATCCACTGTTAGGTACTACTTTTCACTCTCCTGTAAAGGTGCTTGTGCTAGAGGTGAAAGGAGCTGGTCTTGGAACCAGAGTCTGGATGAACTGCACATCCAAGAGGCCATTGTCTACTCTGGAGACTGGGTGGTCCCACAAACAGCCGTGCGTCTGGGCAGCTGCCTTCAGAAGCCCACCCTGAATTTTTCAGATGGTGTAGAATCACTAGCCAGTAGGCTGTTACTTGTCATTCACATACTTAGCTCTGTGTGTTCTCTGCCAAGAGTACAGGGTTTGGGGAGACAGACCCAGTAGGTTGGGCAGTAGTAGCCCATAAGCCTAGCTCATTTGCTCAGACTGATTTGGGGATGATGAGATATCTCTTTCCCTGGACCTTTGCAGGCCCAGTAACAGGTGAGTCTGGTTGGACAGGCCTTTCCATTGTCACTCAGGCTTGGGTCTTCAGAGGATACTGAATATCCTTGGTACTCCATTCAGCCCCTACAGGGCAGTCTGTTCAGCACATCCTCTGATGTGTCCCCAGCTGCTGCCCAAGCATTCAGTCCCTCCTTAGGTCTTTTTGGCTTCAGAATCATCTCTTTGGGATGGTTACCACTCCAGGTGTTCCAGCAGCCATACTTGAGGACAGGGAGTTTGCTTTTGTCCAATTGGAAAGTATCTCTGCAGAAATGCAGACAGATGAAACCACCTGCTCATTACAGGGCATAGAGGCTGCCACCATGGGGTGCAAGTGAGGTCCCACCAGCACATACAGGCTTGAGAGGGGAAGAGCTGGTTTAGGGTGTAAGAGGTTGGGAAATCATAGTCTGATCAGTGCAGGTGGTGGTTCTAGGAAAAGGCCCTTCCTGTACCCTCCCCACCAAGAGCTGCTCTCAGGCAATGATTCCATCAGTACAATTGCTGCTGCTAGGCCTAGGAGCAGAGGAAGGAGGCCTGAGGCTCTTGCGAGTCCTGAGGAGTGAGGCTAGCTGAGAGGTGGGCAGAGCAGGCTATGTCCACCGAGGCCCAGTGTCTCTGCATCAGAGTGCTACTCACTCCCTACCACTTTGTCTCTTTTCCCTCTAGTTTCTAGGGGCAGCTAGCGCGACAGTTGGGGCTTGGCCTGTCTAAGTCTGAGGTCCTTGCCATTCCCACTTGCTCTGGTGAGGTTGGCAGATGAGACTCCAGGATGTGTGTGACCACAGCTGCCACCAGCACTGCCCAGCAGCTGACTTACTAGAGAGGCACCCCAGAATCTTGAGACTGGGTCAGAGCTGCAAACCCTTGGCCTCCTCATGGAGCTGAGCAGAGCCAGACCCACCAGGGCGTGTGGGAGGCTGGTACCAGGTATGAGCACTGCCTCCTTTTCCTTGCAGAGGAGCAGGGACGTGTCGTCTCTCCGGCTGCACGCGGCCCGCCAAGGTGCCCGCTGCCGTCCCCAGCGCCCACGACGCACCACCTACTGAGGCGGCCCCAGCGGCCTCTGACCGGGCTTCCAGCCACGCAGGCCGCCACTGGCCACAGGGCAGGTGGGTGCGAGGTGCCCAGGGCAAACCCGAGTGCTGAGCATGGGCTGGACAGAGGACGGGGAACAGGATCAGCAGGTGCTGACTACATAGAGAAATTTACCAGCCCTCCAGAGGGGTGAATAAACGGAAGGCAGGAAACTTACGCTGGAAGCCCACAGACAGTGAACAGAGCTTATGCTGTATCTGAGCTCAGTCTCCTCACCCCTGGGGGCTCCCATGGCCTCCGAGTGCCACCCTGGGGCCCCTCTCCCTCCCTTGATATTCCCCTCTCCCCTTTTCTTCCTGCTATATGAACGCTGTGGCTGCTGAACAAACCCTAGGGGCAGCAGAGAAGGTTACAGCAGGCAGAACTGGGAGAGCTAATGAAGATCAGAACCACTTTTTAAGAATCAGCAGTTTGTTATTTAACAAAGGTGGGACTCAGGGTGAACAGACCACTGCCCAGAACCAGACAGCTGGAGACAGGCCCTCTGGTGCTCCTCTACACACAGGACTGTTTTACCTTCTCAGGCAGAAGGAGCGCTTTGTCCCCTAGACGAGGGGTGACTGGCAATGTAGGAGACCAGGGCAGAGGTGGGGGTGGATGGTGGGGCCAGGGAGGACCCTGCAGGCAGCACCCACCTGCCAGCCCGTCCCAGCCCTGCCCTCTGATTAAAGTCGTGTTGTCTCCTAAGTGTGGGTTTCTAGGTCCTTGGCCACAGTGGGGGCGGGGAGGCACAGGCTGCTCGGGCTCAGCAGGCTGGGGCCCTGGTCTGCCGGCTGGTAACTGTGCGGCTTCCTTGGCTTCACCGCAGATCCACTTTGGAACGACACGGTTCCCACCCCGCCACCTCTCCCCGCAAAACACTGACCCGCTGACCAGGCAGCCAGAGCTGAGCAGATGGCCCCGCCTCAGCTGGTCCTGTTTGTGAAATAAATATGAGCGTTGCCAGTCTCTGGACCTCTTCCCTGCTCCCTGCCCGCCCGGCCAGGCCGCTCACACGCTGGTTTCCGGGGTATGAACCACCTCCCCATTTTTCTCAGGCTGTCCCTTCAGGAAGTGCTCCACCTCCCTCGAGTCCACCCTCGAGTCCACCGGGGGCTTGTGGAGCTTCTCCTCTGAGGCCACCTCCTCAGGCTGGGTCACCTCGGGCCTCTTCCTGATGCAGAAGAAGTTGCCCAACAGCAGCACAAGGGAGGAGGTGAGCACCTCGGCCCCCGCCAGGATGAACACATACTTGTAAACTTTCGTGGCATCCAGCAGCTTGCCTGCAAAGAAGACCCGGGTCACTAGAAGCTCCTGGGAGTACCCTGCTTCCACCCTGGGCCAGGGCTCCATCTCCTGGCATTGAGGAAATGCCTCATGCATGCAGTCACCCTGTCTGCCTTGAACTCCATCCCCAGCAGCATCTGCCCAGCCCTCCCCAGCCCATGAGAGCAAAGGCTGAATCAAAAAGGATGGATAGAAGTGGCCTTGAAGGTTTGCACTCATGGGGCATATATCTCCCTTCCCAGTCACAGACCCCTAGAAAGAAACATGGCTTAGCAAGGCCCTGAATACTTAGTAACTGAGGACCCCAAGACCATTCTTGGATAAAGAAGGAGCCAGAGGCTTTAAGGGGATCAGAAAGGGCTGTGGAGTAAGAGACAGTCCAGGATAGCTAGGCCACCCTCTCCAGCTAAAGCCATTCTCCATTTCAATGGAGTGTTTTTGGCTGGCCTTCAGAGAATAAAAGGACCAAAGTTTATGCCTGTCTTGGCTCAGAGCCAGCACTTACTGCTGACATCTGCTGGCCCCAGATCCTATCTATTTCCAGTCTCCTAAAGCAGGTGTGAAAGGAAGGGGGGTAGGTAGCCCCTCCTCAGGGAGGCCAGGCCTTGCCCTGTTCTGGTGTCCCCTGCCAGCAGCACTCACCTCCTGATGGGGGTCCGATGAGCACAGCCACAGCCTCTAACAGCAACACGAGACCGATGGCGCTGGAGAACTTCTGAGTGCCTACGATAGCCATGAGCACCTCAAACTGTAGAGCCCCTACCATGCCATATGAGATGCCAAAGAAGATGCAGAAGACCACCAGGCCACCATAGTCACTGGCTGTGGAGCCTGTCAGGTCGGTGAAGCCATTGAAGAACATGGCAAAGCTGAAGAGGTAGACAGAGTAGGGCCGCACCTTCTTGAGCCCCGTTATGAAACCAGCTGTGGGCCTGGCAAAGATGTCAATGAAGCCCAGGATGGTGAGGAGGAAGGCCGCCTTTGTGTCAGGCACACCCAGATCCTTAGCATAACTCACCACAAACACTGGGGGCACAAAGAGCCCCAGCACCATGATGGAAGCAGCCACTGCATAGATGAGGAAGCCACGGTCTCGGAAGACACTCAAGTCCAAAAGATGCTTTGATGGCCGCTGGGGGACATGGGGCCCGGTCCCTGCACGCGCCTTGGGTGCCGCCAGCGGCCTCATGAGCGCGGCGCACACACAGCAGTTGAGCAGCAGGCCCCCCAGGATGAGGAAGCCACCTCGCCAGCCATAGTGGTCCTGCAGGAGCTGCCCCAGCGGGGACAGCGCGCAGAGGAACACTGGACTGCCCGCTGCCGCCAGCCCATTGGCGATGGGGCGCCTTTTGTTGAAGTATCGGTTGAGCATGATGAGGGAGGGCTGGAAGTTGAGAGCCAGACCCAAGCCTGTAAGAGAGGGCAGTGTAAGACCTCAAACCCAGACTTGCAAAGAAGGCACTATGAAACCCCAGGCCCAGACCTCCAAGGAGAGCAGAGTTGAACCCCATGGCCAGGACTTGCAGGGAAGGCAGCTTAGACCCGTGTCTCCCATACCTTCATCCATACCCCAACTTCCCTGAGCGCAGGTCCATTGCAAATGGTGGCGAGCATCTAATGGGTCTCAGAGTACAGAGCCTCAGACACTGGCCACGTGTCTCGTCAGACTTACGGATGGGAAGGGTACAGCCAAGAAGCCCAACAGTGCTCAACTTTGCCCCCAAACTCAGAACAGATCATGCGCGGGAGGTCTGCAGGTCCCACCCAACTCACCAGTGATGACCCCTGTGGTGAGGTAGATCTGAATGATGCTTCTGCAGAAAGATGCGGCCACCATTCCCAGGGATGCAAAGAGGCCACCCACAAGCATGACAGGCCGGCAGCCAAAACGGTTCACACACACACTGCAGAGTGGCCCTGTGTAGAGAAGGTAGCTGAGGGAGGGGCCAGGCGTCTGGCTTGACTCTGCCCCATCCCTGCCCACCAGAATATGCAAGACCCTCAATTATCAGGTGTGCTGGGCACTGGGGGCTAGGTTCTTAGTGCAAGGTGACTCGTGGACACTGGGCAGAGCCCAGCTCCTCACATGACCTAAGCAGGTCAACAGGCATCAACCTCTTTGAAGGAACCGCTTGTGGAGCCTGACCACTGGGAGGAGCCTACACACTTAGACAGGGACCGAGACACTTTGCCCTTCAGAGAACCAATACCTTTCTGGGCAAGATCACCCGCTGAAGGACTTCCCCATTCCTCTGCGCTCCCTGGGATGCCTGTGGACCCCAGCTCACCTGTGCCGTAGAGCATAGCCAGCAGGATGGAGGAGATCCAAGCTGTGTCGCTGTAGCCAATCCCAAACTCATGCATGAGCTCCTTGAAAAACACGCTGACTGCTTTGGGAAAGGCATAGGAGAAACCCGTGATGATGAAACAGCCGAAGAGGACTGCCCAGCCCCAGCCGCCATCAGGGGCCTTGATTCCGGTGGGACCATCGTCCACCACGGCTCCTCCCATAGCCAGGAGGGCTGGTTTCACCTTGCCCTGAGAGAAAAGAAACAGAGCTGACTCAGGTTGCCAGGGTGATCACCTCAGCTGCAGCCCAGCAGAGGAGGGTGGGGACAGAAACAGGCAAGACACCTGGAGAGTCCCAGAATTGGCACCTGGCCACTCCTACAGCAGCTCAGCCTCGGGCAGCCTGCTGTCACTACCTTAACTGGTACTTTGGGAAGCTGTCTGGACTCTCACTCAGCTGTCTGTTCCCACACAGGTGGCTATAAAGTACAATGACTTTTTCGGGCTTGGCCAGGATTCACATTACCTCCTGGGAAGAACAGACCCAAGAAACCAGCCCTAGCTGGTGTTTTTTGCACTGGGCAGAGGCTGTGCCGCACAACGTAACCCTGGCAGCAGCCTATACTTCCCACCCCTTGGGGGCACATTCTCGAGTCCTCCCCCAGAATGTCTGGGGTGGGTGCCCAGTGCTTTGCCCAGCTCTAAATCTAAATGAGGTGAGCCCTGCCCTGTTCTGCCCCCTGAGGAGCTGGGCTGCACTCTTTGCCCACCCTGGATTCCACTTTCTGACTGACTGGGAGGACATGGGTCTGGAGCAGAGGCAGATGAAGGCGCTTCCTACTTCCCCTGGGTAGAGCTTAGTACTTCTAACTCTGCCTAGAATCACCCATGACAGTGGCTTTTGGAAGAGGCTGAAGATCCTGGTGGATTCTAGGAAGGCCTAGGGGTTAAGGGAAAAAAATCAGTCATGGCTGCAGCTCATAATTAATCTATTGGAACAGGGGCAGATCTTCTGGCCCCTAGCTGCTAAAGTAAGCAGGAAGTGTCCCATACCCCACCCCCACCCAGTGCTAACTTCCCTTTTCATGAATTTCAGGGGCTTAGTTGATGTGAGACAAAGCAAGTCCGAAAGCTAGGACCGGGTTTTTGTCTGGGTATCGACCCCCAGTCAGTGTTCCCCTAATCGCAGAGGTTGCTCAGCCTCATCCCCCATCTCACCAAGAATTGAGCTGCAGCAGGGGGCAGCCTCTGACCTGAGTATTCAGTCCAGTCTCCACAAATGCTGTGCTGCCAAACAGTACTCTGGGGAGAAAATCAAATCATGATGTTGTTTCAGGGCAGCTGGCACTGGGATGTAAACCCCTGACCAGGAGAGCTACCCTGGCTGCTCTCCCTGGAAGGGCTGGGCATGTATCTGCAGGCTCCAGCCCTGCCCCTTTGCTGCCTTCTTCCTGTGAGCAGAGTCCCGTGGCTGGGCACAGACATGCTAAACTAGACTGTGTCCTGGGAAGCCCAAATGTGGTGTGACTCCACCCAGGTTTTCCTAAGGTTCAGAGACAACACACAGCTCTGCTGTGAACGCACACCTACCTTCAAAGGCTTCATTCACCCTGCTTCTGACCATCTGGCCATGGCCCAGCCTGAGACCCTCCCCACTCACACCCAAAGGACAAGTATTTTATGCCAGTGAGGACATGCTCAGTGGGAGCCCCAGATTCCAGGCACCTCTTATCCATTAGCCCTGGGTTTAAAAGACCCTTAAGATTATTTAAAAGGGAAACTAAAAACTGGAGTCGGGGAGTGCATTTTAGGCATATACCATTTAGAGATGAAACCAAAGACAGAAAAATGAGGATGACGCCAGGCCCAAAATTTAAGTCAAGGAGAGAATGGAAGGGGTGGCCAACTGGGGTTCCTGCTTGTTCAGATTGTGGCTTTAGAAAAGTTTGTTACCTCTTTTGTTTCTTTATTTGTGTGTGTGTGTGTGTGTGTGTGTGTGTGTGTGTGTGTGTGTGTGTGTGT